CGATTCTAGTGACGCGCATTTCAAAAGAAGTACGGGACGAAACATCATGAAATAAAATCCTGTGTGCCCGGAAAATTGTGGAGAAGGTTATTATATATACCTTTACACAAGAATATCACGAATTTCAGAGAAGAAAGGGAAAAACTAACTTTTCGGCTGCATCCGCCATCTTGTTTGTTTGGGTAACGAACGGCGTGATTCTCCCCCTTGAATCCATTAATTCTACTTTGACATTCAATTATTTTCCGCCGTTATTTAGATATAAGCAAAATCAAAACTTTTTTTATCATGAAAAAACTATTTTTGAACATTTTCATAAATCATTTTGTTCACGCTACAAACCAGATGTATAATTTTACAGTGGTACGCACGAGAAGAAATAGTATGAATGGCGTTCTGTTCACTCAACATTTATAACTTGCTTTTTAAATGTTATGATATGCTTAAAACCATAATGGTCCTTTTTAATATGATGATTGCACGCGTTGAATTTGTTCCAAACAAACACAAACTGTTTGACAAACTTTAACATGCATTCTACGTTTTTCTTTTGCATGGTTGTAGCATATGTGCCATTAAAGCTCTAGCAAAATTTGTTTTTTCCTAATGAATCACAAAGTATTGATGATACAATGATAAGGGGTAGTGGTGACCTAATGGCTAAGATGTTTGCTTCTCAATCCCAGGATTGTGGGTTCGAGCCCAAGTCGGGTAACGACTTTGTTTCTTCATTTGAAACAAATACTGGTTAGTTCCAGGAAGCGGGCTCTAAAGTGATTAATACAAGTTGAAAGAACGGGTTTCGCAATCAAGCATAAATTTATATGTTTAAACTAATAGCTTTTAGATTTATTTAGGGCCCTCAAATATATTTTTTTTGTTCATGCAGCTAGAAAAATAAAAAACATATTTTAGTGCAAAATAAATATATGTTCTTGTTTACAGTGATATTGCAGTACGATACTCATGGAATATGTTTCGCGCTAATATGGTGAAATATTTGTTTATTTTGTTTTATACGATAAAAAAATTCGATGAACAATTTGTTTATTATACACTTTTTAAAATAATCGTTGAAAAATTTGTTTATCATACACTTTTAAAATTCGGTGAAGCACTTGTGGTGATGAAATGCTGCTGCTGCTGATGATGATGATGATGATGATGGCCGTTGTGATTCCATCATTAGGTTGGTTATTCTCCGGTTTTTTTTTCTAAATAAACGGTATTGTGCAAAACGGACTTGTTAAAGTAAAAGAAATGCACATGTGACGTATAGGTTCGTATTGACATTTATATTAGCATTTTTGGTGAGCATAGAAAAACTCAATCCCACAGAATGTGGCATATTTTATGTTCCATTTCGCTGAAGAGTATGCCATATTCGATCGAATATGTCACACGTCTGACAAATTCGAGCTGAATATGTCACACGTGTGCCATATTCGGTTCGTGACAGATACTGTCTGGGAACCACAAAACTTACTTAAACCATTCTTAAAAGGATTCGTAAAATTATTTGCTAAGACATAATTTTTTTAAGTTTATGTTAAGATAACCTTCGATTGTTAAGAAATGTTTAGACATTTTGTTAAGTGTGATATTAAATAAGATTTTTCAGGCATAAGAAATACATTTTAAGAGCAATACCTATCGCTAAACTATAGTATGTAAAGAAAGTCGATAGATAATTAATCTAATAATTTGGGACATTTTTCACAATTTGTCATAAAAATATGATAATTATGTCATAATTTCCCTTCTACGAAAAGGAAAGATGATATTCAGACGACAGATAATGATAAATACTATATAAAAACAGAAAAGACGAGAATAAAGACCAACAAGGCAAAGGCAAAGTTCACAGGACAGACTGATATATCTATTGGGCAAGCATGTTATATATCTACTTGCCTTGCTCGGAAAGAAAATTTGATACATATAGTAAATGTCATAAGGTATTTAAAAAGAAAAATGAAACTCTAGAAGACCTTCCAACAAATCTCTCTTATGATTTTATTCCAATTGATAAAGTTTGATGACACGTCATATTCTAATATTTACAAAATTGAAATGAATATTTGATTGCATGGAATTTTCTATCTATGCTATAAATTATTGTTAACCAAGTTTCATTTAAACAAGGTTTTTATGTTAAATATTCTTGAACTAGACAGCTAAGATAAAAATGTACTTACCATTCCAATCTGAAAAGGATAAAATAACAAAGTTAATCTCTTGTAATCTGTGTCTTATGGCTCATAATGTTATTATAACCAGTTGTTCAGTACATAACTATAAAACTAATGCATTTCAAACTACATTGTACCAATGAAAGGATTATAAAGCTAAAGTAATTGATTATGTGATTAAATGTGTAAGGCAATAAATTAAACATTTAGACTTTTATTTCACACCCGTGCCGATATTGCGACTCCGTAAAAATGGTATTGCACGGTCTTGCATATATTTTGACGTAACGTCATAAGCGTTATACAAACATAGTGAAAAGACGCGTTAGATGGTTGCGTTTTACTGTAGGCGCGCCAATAAAAATTGACTATTTTTTCACTTGAAACATTCTTTATTTTTGGTATGTGATAAATAGAATATTAAATTTGTGTAAGTTCATTACTGAATGTATTGAACTTGTTGAATAAAATAATATTTTGCTCGCCAGAGACTCGCATAATATAATTTTATACAATTTGTGCAATAAATTCAGTATTGAACTTACACTCATTCAATATTCTTGATATATTAAGGAATAGACCTTATTCCAACCTATTTCTATTACTATGTTTTTAGAAAACATTTGTTGAAGTGAGCAAATGTATATAAGCAGATATATTATGATGACATTTCAAGTTTTAAACCAGGCAATTCGTATTCCAATCTTAAGTATGGACATCTTTATGTAAACACCAAATATTTCAGTTATTATTTCCAGCCAAAAATGAAATATAACTAGAAGGGTTTTTGTCACAAAAACATATGTCTCCCAAAACTATGTATGGTCACTCATGCGACGTTTCATTGAAATCCCACAAAAAAAATGGACATGTGAGGGCCGGACAAGATTTTCCTATTTTTAGCTCTGGCGGCAATTTTGTGCAACGAAGTGAAACATGCCAGTAATGTGCACAACTAGGGATGGTACTTATCATTCCTGTAAAGTCTGGTTGAAATCCCACCAGTAATTTGACTTGTCAAGGCCAAACAAGATTGTTCCATTTTTAGTTCTTGTGGCCATTTTTTGTAGCGAAGCGGAACGTGCCAGTGATGTGCACTCCTGGGGATGGTACTGATGGTACTGATCAAAGTAAAGTTTTGTTAAAATCCAACCAGTAGTTTGACCTGTGAAGGCCGGACAAGCTTATTGACGACTGACAGACACCCTGACGGTCGGACGGACAGACAGACGTCGAAGGCAAAAACAATTTTTGGGAGATATAATTCATTTATGAATTACCATCCAACAAATTGAGAGAAAATGTCAGTTTATGACGTAAAAGAGTAAAATAATTCTATGGCACGAGATCATTAGTACAATGTTGTTTATCATTATGAATTTAATGGTACAAAATTCAAGTAATTAGAAGCGTCTTCGTGTAAAATTCGTTTTCAGAATCTAAATGCCTTTGTTCAGCATGATTATTATAATTTTATGAAATAGTCCAATAAATGCACGACAGACGGATGAACATTATGAACAAAGACTAAAAAAGTATTTGTAGAACAAGAACTAATTTATTTTTAACTACAAACGAATCGGAGTAGCATGTGTATTTGACGGTAATTAGAAGCAATTGGCATCGAGGAAAAATGTACTTCATGAAAACTTTAAGAGTGACAATGAGAACAAATAAATTTAAGTTTGTGACATTTACAAAACAAATGCGTGTGTTAAAAATAATTGACGATCATATCCCTCATTTAAGACAACATATAAATGGTTAAGCTGTGTATTAACATACTCAAAGTTGAAGAAAATGTACAGTACACTTTTGGAACATGTACCTCCTTCTAGACTCAAGGCTCAAGCTCCGAAAGACCTATATTCTTACATCCTTTTTGTCACGCTTAAGTAGTTACTAAATAAACACTTTATTGAATGTGTTTAAAAAAAAGTCCAAAAGTTTTAGCAAATGGTGTTTTAATAAATGGGAAAAATCAATTTTCAAACCAGAACATATAGCGTGTCTTGCTTCTTCGAATTTCAGATATCTATGACACGTTAAACAGTTTTATCTGATGTACATTTATGGAAACTACGATAGTAATAATTTAACCATTACACCCTGAGTAGTGTACATTTATGGGAAAACCATAAAAGGTTGCAACAAATCATATTTCTCTAAGAAAAAATATCATTTATTTATACTGTTTTATTTAAAACATGTGTATAAATAAAGTTATACATTTATGATGTCAGATACCGACAAAGATGTTTGATGAATAGTTATATCCTTAAATATATAGAAAAGCTTGCCGATCGATGATAGTGCTTTACTTTCAATCGTAAAATGATTTTGCGTAGCAATTGACATAGCGATTCAACGTACTTCTAAATTGGCTTATTTAAAGCTAGTGAAACATAACATATTAAAATGAATATTAATAAAAAAAAAAGCTGCAATGTACAATTAATTAATATTCTATGAATTTTGTTCAAAAGATGTTGAAAGTAACATAGATGAAAGGGACAATACCAGTTCAATATTACGTTTCTTGCTATTTCAAATTTTAAATAGTTATGGGCAGTATAAAAATGTTATATTGTAAGATAAAGAAATAGAAATATATGATAGTAATTATATAAATATATTAGTCAGACTTATCTGTCTATAAAGATTTAAGTTAATATCCCCAATGGTTCTACCCGAACAATTTTGTTGGAGAATTAAACTGACAGTGTTAATAAGACAATTTTCAAAACATCACATAGATACATTACAATTGTACAATAAAGATTAGAAAATGAAGAAAACTTGTGGCATACACTTTTGACAGCACGACAAAAAAAAATTTAAGTCAACTTTGGTTTCATTCAATATGCCATTATGCAATATGATATTCATTTGTTATCACATTACAAAAATACTAAAGAAAATGTATTTGAGGAATCACACAATTCTTGAGATAAAAAGTACTTACCTATGTTCCCTGAAAAGGAAAACAAACACATGTAAGTATCATGTAAGAAGCATACTGTATAGATATTTTTAGTGTTATAACTACTTATGAAAATACTTTTTGCAACAAAGTACATGTTATTGAAAAGCTTGATTACCTAATGTCTTACGCGATATACATTTTAGGCAATAAATCATACGTGTACATATTAGATCGTATAACAGTATCATGTTTTAATTCCATTTATTACCATTTATGAAATATGATATCCATTGTTTACACAGCACACACAGACTTAATATCACACAAGACTAAATAAAAGGTACATTGTATTTGAAGAATCAGACAATTTTTTAGATTAAATATACTTACCTATTCTTTTCCATGGAAAAGGAAAGCAAACACATGTATGTATCATATAATAGGCATGTGTATATAGGTTTTCACTGATATAACCATTGAGTTATGTTAATTTCACTTCATTGCAAAACAAACAAAACAAACGAACAATAATTTAAAAAAACAAGACTTTTCAGTGCATGTTTAAATGTGTAAAACGCTTAGTCATTGAAATACATTTTAGGCAATCAAAAATCTTCATATTTAAGTTTGTAACAATATCATGTACATGTGTTACAGAATAAAATATTGATTATATAATGTAGTAAAAACCTGAATTGACATGTTTTTCATTTTGTCCGCTCAAAGCCTATTGCAAAATATTCAATATGCCATTAAATGACATTCACCGTGTATAATTGAAATGAAATGAAATGAATTGTGAAAATTGTACAAACTACACAGACATATGTGCTCCATACATTACAATCTTTCAAGAGGCACACTGTACTATCGTAGGCAATGAATAAATGCATGGCAAAATGTACATGAGAGACATAACACTCAATTATGAGTGATTGTTGAGAAAATCAAAGTTCGCCTTTGGTTTTCTTTTTATTAAAAATATTGTCATACTAAATAGTGACGCAATTGTCTAAATCGTTCATATATTATCATCATACAGAAACGAAGGTAAACAGTTATTTTACGTATTTAAAGTTAAAGTATTTAAATAAATATGTAATAATATATTTGCCGTCGGCCTTAAACCCAAGCATTCTACAGTTTCATTAACCTTTTTAACAGTATCGTTATAAATCTCATCAAATATTGTTCATAAATAAGGATTTTAAATGGAAAACCCCACGGTAACACTAAAGTTCGTATACGAATTTTAACATGCAAATGAAGACTATAATCAGCTCGTGTATGCGCTACGTCACGGTATTATCGTTGCTATCCGGAACACAGCAAATATAAAATTTCTTGTGCAAACACACTTTAACCGTTTAAGCTTCACGGTGCACTAGGCATGGAGTTCAGAAAAAGTTATCATCACATAAAAAAGAATAAATTTGTATGAAAATATCCGTTACAATGCGGAAATATACCGTTAAATTAGGACTACTACTTATAGGCATGTTTGTTGATTTAACATTGATGTACGGATGATTAGAAGGCGGAATTTCTTATGCAAACAGAAATTGTACTTCCGAATTCGCCACAATGAGGTTGCACATTTGTTTGCCAATAAAACTCCTTTTGGTAGTCTGGACACCAAAATAAGATCTGAATTCGATATGAAACCCAATTTATTAATGAAATGTCGTTATTTCTGTTTTTATGAAATTTATTAAATGTAACTTTAACCTGTTGTGGTCGAGACTAAGGTCTATGATATATCTGACTGACACCAATTAATTATCAACAAAGTATTATATATATTTAATTTGCCTGTTGACATTTAGATACAATAATGCAATAAAATACATAAAACTTAATGGTAAAATAATAATTGAAATCACCTTAACAAATATGAATTTTTGATTGATTTAATATTATTTCGTCAGTAAATCCTCACAAGATCTTCAGCAAATGTATGTATTTCATTGTTTCTAAGTTGTCTTTATATTTTTCTCAGCAATTTAATATCAATAGTATCTGTAGCTTTAAAATAATCGCTTACGTCCAGAATTTTTTTCCTCGCTGTCGTCAAATTCAGGATTTAGACCTGGATCTTGCATTTCTTCACCACAATATACGTGTACAGAACTGTCAGCAATCTGTTGTATTGATTTTATCAATATTACCAAAATAGTAAAAGATAGTAAATAAGTAAAAAGGCTGAAACAAATAAATTCATTCTTTTTGTATAAATGTATCACAATTTAAAAACAAAATGACGAAGAAAGTAATAATCAAATAAATTTTTATTCCTTTTCCATTGTTAGATAATTATACAAAATTAATGTGATGAAAGCAACAACATAATTGGCGAAACAGCCCAATGTAGTAATGCAATATCTACACTATTTCAAATGAAATAACTACATCTTAAATTATGAAGCGGTTATTGGTTGCTCTCTTAAATATAAATGTTTTAAACTGTTTTTTTTTTGTAAAATAAGATAGAAGGATAAAATAAAAAAATAAAAATCACGGGTGATTACATTTTGAAAATAAGATATACCTCTTGTATTTTTTCAGCTGCAGCCTGAGCATCTTTATCATAAGCTAGAAACTTTGCATCATTGAAGATAGAAAGCATTATTTGTATGTACTCTTGAATTTCTCTGTCTGTAATTTTGAAGCCAGCAGAGTGAAACATCTTGTTTCTTGCCTCTCTCATCTAAAAATAATTAGTTAACAATATTTTTCTTTTGATATTCAACTAGCAGCAACACAACTTTAAACAAGAACGTATTTGTAAAACACAAATGCCCCCTCCCCCTCCGGCTCAGATTCTTGTCAGAAACTTTTTTTTCAAAACATGTTTACCCATTCAATCAGTTATGGACAGAAAATTGCCCCAAAATATGTGTAAACACAATTATATAACTTGAAAGAGTCATTACGTTTTGTAATCCTGAAAAAGATAAGTTGACAAGTCAATTCAATGGCTTGTGATTAAGTTGAAAATATTCAATTTTATAAAATCAACGATTTTACCTTGAACCCTGAGTGACCCCAAACTTCAACCACCTTAAACATGTTCCTTGTAAATATTAGACATTGGTAAAAAATACAAAGGCTGTATAAAAAAGCATCGAAATCCTACAATAAGCACAAGTGACATTTACCCTTGTGACACCCAACACTGGATCATCCAAAGTAAGTTTCGTCATAATATGAAAAACATTAGTCTATAATTTAAAGGCTGTGTAAAAATCTATCTTTAGGACATTTGACCTTAACCCACTGAATCTTACTCAATCCAAAGGAAGAAGACTATGCAAGATATTTTCCTACCAAATATGAAAGTCATCTGTGCAAAAAATAAAGGCTGTATGGGCAAAAGAGTAAAACTTAATTTTCAGCACTGGTGATCTTGACCCATCGGATCACTATCTCAATCCTATCAATCCTTTCAAATATAAACTAAAGGCTCTTTAAGCGGATGTATAGAAAGTTATTTTTAACAACCTTGACCTACTGACACCAACTCAAACAAAAGAAAGAATACCATGCAAATTATCATCCTATCAAATATGGAAAACATCCGTCCACAAATATAGTCGATATCGGCAAAAGTGTAATAATATATTTTAGCACTGGTGACTTTGACCCAACTGACCCCTCATTCAATTCAAAGGAAGAAGACAAGTTATCATCTTCACAAATGAAAATAATCATCAGTCAAAAAAAAGCTCTATAAGTCAACGTGTAGAAATCTATTATATATTATTGGCATCACTGACCGTGACTAAATTGAACCCTACCTTACTCAAAAGGAAGTACATCATTTAAGTTATCTACCTACAAAATAAGAAATAGATTTGTCAAAAAATATTACTTTAGGTGCAAAAGTGTAAAACTGTATTTTTAGATCTAATAACCTTGAAGCAACTGACCCCTAAACCCATCCAAAGGAGAATACCTCAATTCTACGATTAATGCACATGTAAAAGTGTAAAAATTTCTGAAATTTGTAACCTTGAACTTGACCCATATCAACCCTAACTAAACAAAAGGAAGAAGACTCATTCGGTCTGTTTGTATTCAACACGAAACAAATCAACGAAAAATAAGGTTGTATGAGAAAAAAATGTTTAAATTTATTTTTTACATCAGCGACCTTGACCTGGACACTAGAGATCCATAACTGCACAAAAAATTAGAAGACCATTTAATGTATACATCTACCAAATATGTTTAAAATATTATTGAATAAATGAAGAAATTGTGAATGATAAACTGAAGGTAAATACAACTTGCCGGAATGGTTAACCATACAAAGCCTTATTTTCAATGTGATAATGTACTTTGTATTGATTGGTAAGTGTGTAAATGATGTAGCAATTTGGTACAGGTAGAACTTAGGAAAGGTTAAATGCGTACAGACAATGAGGCGTACGGACGGACAGACTGATGTTTTAATTACTATATGCCTGGGGCATAGAAAATAGATATCAATATAGATATCAATATAACACTTGTTGATACAATATCGATCAGGTTGGAAGTTAAATGGTGTTAAACCATACTGAGATGACAGTATTTGAATTATTATTATGTTTATCTCAACAAAAATATTAGAAATGGAAGAATGATGTTTGAAACTTATCTGATTATGATGAGCTGATTTTTTACAGCGGATGAAAATATTGTTAGCGTAAAATTTAATTTGGTTTTCATAATACATATGAAAACTACTATACTTTGTTCGTGAAGTAAGCTAAAACGTACGCCTGAGCAGCCGGAACATTTTTTGCCTAGTCCGACTGTTCAGGCTGCTCCTGCTAGCCAAAATCCTTATAATCCGGCTTACCAGAAATGATACAGAAAAATATTATCAAAAGATAATCGGCATATATCATATTTTCATATTAGTTATACGCCAGAACTCCGGCTATTTCGGCTAGCCTGTGTGTCTGTCCGTTGGCCCAACCGTTAATTCTCAAAATGGTGGGATTGTAAAGATCTGAACCAAGTGCATAAGTACGTCTGACGGGAAAACCCTGGCATTTTGCCGACGTAAAGCCAAACACTGAACTGTATAAGGTCAATTAGCTATAAATCGCCATCTCCGGCACACCCCTGTGATTTCCAGCCTCAATTTCGCAGGACATTTAGGTGGTTTGACCGTGCGTCTATGAAAAATGTGTGCTTATTGTGAAAACACTGGTCTTTTGTGGAAATTTCAGCTCAAATCTCACCATTTTCAGCTGGCTCTATGTTCAAGTTTGCAGTAGTCCATATGCTGGGAGGGTAAGGGAGTGGTCTGGACCATGTGTCCGACGGTATAAGTGTGTGCATCGGGAATAATCTGGTATTGCTCCGACCTTAAGTGGAAAATTGAACTGTTAAAGATTTTTTGAGCTCATATTCCGCCATATCTGGCTGGGCTCTGTGAAACCCACCTCCAATTCCACATAAGTTATAATGGTGGGGTGGTTAGGTATCTGACCCTGTGTCCGCTGGTATAAGTGTGTCCGTCGGAAATAGCCAACGTTTAGCCGAATATCGAACTGTAAATGGTCATTTTAGCTCATATCTCGCAATTTCTTTTAAACTGAAAGCAGATTTCAATCGACAAGTTTTCTCTCAAAATGTGTAAGAATAAACCACATTATTTTCTAGTTGCTGTAAGCCTCTGAATATCAAAATATAGCATTTGTTAATACTTAGAAGCTTAAATATGTAATTTGATTTCAAATCTGTTACAAGAGTCAGAAGGAAATTAAGAGACTTGAGATAAAATGACAATTGCAATCGATTGTCGGCTAAAAGTCGGCCGAGTTTCAGAGTATTCTCAACCAAACATTTTTATCAGGAGTCATAGGATAAGATTAAAACAGAAATAAGCATACCACCAAACTCATTCTGCAGAATTGAGCCTGGGGCTCAAAGATGCCAGTCGGATTTTCCAAGATGACCATTTCCAGATGTTTTCGGCTAAATGTCGTCAAACATCAGAGTATTCCCGCGGACAAACATATACCGTTATCGTACAAGCAGACACATTGTCGGTCACCTGAGCTTGCCACCATATTGGTACTGTGGAATAAAGCCTAAAACGACATTGAGCTAAACTGACTTAATTACAAGAGTAGGGGACTTAAGGACGGACCATTAAACATGCCACTTTATAGATTTCTGAAGAATTGAGCTTTAAAAACACGGGAATCGCTTAACTGGAAATTCCGTGATTTTAGCTGAAATAACCATTTGCATTCGATTTCCGGCTTAACATTACAAAATGCTTGAGTATTCCCGAAAGACACACGTTAACTCGCAGACATTGGTCATAACTACTAGTGCCATTATATGGGATTCTGCAAAACCGACCCATCTGGAAATTCCGAAATTTTCTTGCACATTCAATTTCCGGCTTAACGTCAGCTAAATATTTATATTCCGGACCAACACATTTGTACCAGCTGACACATAGTCAAACTTCCTTACAATGCCACAAATGAGAGGTTGCACGGAATTGGGCTCGAAAAGCCATTTGCAGTTGATTCTTTACTTAATATCGGCAAAATACCAGATTATTTTCGACAAACACACCTATACAAGCGGACACATGGTCAGACCCAAACCAACTCGCCATTTGGGGTTCTACAGAATTGAGACTAGGTAGGGCTTACGGCGGACAGTCGGAAATGGCGAGATATGAGCTAAATGACAATTGACAGTTCTGACTCCGTTATCTGTGCTACTATATGAGGTACTTGAATTCTTGAATTGAGCCTGAGGATATAAGGGGCCAGTGGATAATAACGAGGTTTAAGCTAAAATTACGTTTCATTTAGTTTCGGCTGAAATTGCGAGCCACACAGTCAGACCCATTAATCACGCCACAATGTCGGGTTCTGCAGACTATTTACTCCCGAGATTAAAACGACGGACACACTTATACCAAAGGATACTCCTAAAACGACATATTTTCATTGTTGATAATTCTTCCTTTACTATATTCAGCCTCTGTTTCGCCTTTTTTGCTTGCCACTAGACAGAGAGAGAGATTATATTAACTAATAGAATTATACTTGAAATAAAACGAGGATCTTTTGCCTGGCTAACTTCACAAATATACTTTCTCTAGTTATAAAAACAACGTGATTGTTTTTGGAATTACAAGAACGATATTTGTTTTGGAAACATATGTATCACATCATATTTAAAATCAAACAATCATATGTAATGAATATATCTTGTAAAATAGATGTAGGTATGCGTGTATATGTGTGTGTGTGCGTGTACGCGTACGTACGTGCGTTTTGTGTGTAAAAGTGGGTGAATGTGGAGCTATATTCTTTCCTGGATCTAAATCAAGGTAAGTCATTTAGATTAGATAATATTAAAGTAGTTATTTTATCTAATATACAATAAGTGATATTAATCAATCACCAGCGGACATGTTATGATTACTGGTAACATTCGTCTTGATACATGTGATCATCAATTTATAAATCATATTTTTTTTGTACAATTTAATGAGAATCAAATAAACATTTTTACAAGTTTTCAAAATTTACATACAAAGAAAGAAGACCACATCGAATAACAGCAGTAACTTTGATAAAGTTCAAATAATTATAAAAATATGTACCAAATGAACACAATAATGAAGTTTTCACGATGTAAGATTCCATTACTTTTAATGAAATGAGGAGACGAACTGACAACGGACAATCACAAAACTTCATCTTGGCCTTATAGTGTGCATATGAACTAGATTACAACATACCTTAACAAAAATGTTATCTGGTGATCCTAGGTCTTCTGCTACCAGAGACTGGAAAGATTTGCAGTTAATAATCACTGAAAGCAGTCCAGCGCAATCTGTGTCTTCAACTGTTTCGTTGTCTTGATATCCATCAGTCGGGATAAAACATTTCATCATTTCGAACGGGTTTTGGAACCACCTTCTTGCATCAGTGTTTTTGAAATTAGGTGAATGAAATCTATGTCGTGATTTTATTATTCGAAAAATCCTGTTGCAGATACCTTTCGGGCAAATTTTGCTCGCCTTCAGAGGATCACTGTTATCATGGAATCGACAATTCCCGTCTTTGTCATAGTAACAAAGTCCATTGCCAGATTTACACGGTACAACATTATGAGTTGTACAATGTCCACAAACGTCATTCCCATAAAGTCCAGCTTCCTGTCTTGCTTGATTAGTTATTTCTTCCGTATACTGAAATGAACCTTCTTTAACTAACGGTTCAACACCTTCTTCTACTAGACGCAATGCAGAAATACCTTTCAGGAAGTTACCATCCTTGTCGGACATCGCAGATTCGGATCGTACCATGTTGTATCAATATCCAATAGTCAGTTTATAAACTGAAATGACGTAAGATTAGTATTATCAATTGCAATACAATACAATACAATACAATATATTTCTATTAAATCAAGGTTACATCTTTTGTAACATTAGACAATTGGCAATTAAAATTAATATAGATATTTAAAAAAATGATATTTGAAAATAGAGATGCAAAAGTTCGTTTAAAAACAATAATTAAACAACCTCTACTGATAAGAACATGTGTAATTTAATGAATAATTAAACTATTATATGTAGTACTATATGGTTTATAGTTTTCATGTGAGGAGCAATAAAAAAATAATTTTGAATTTGACATTTATGGTAACACAACGAAAAAATACAAAAACAGCAGTTGCATATTCTATTAATTGGAAAGAATAAAATTTTAAGCTTATAAGTGTTAACAATATCAATAACATATTAGTAAGTTTGTATTTTTGAGTGACGTTATATAACGTTCGCAAATTCAAATTTTTTCTAGGGGCAGACAATTTGCAACCTCCAGTATCCATTATGCAAACTGCAATGTTCAAATATCGAAGCAGTATGACTATTTATGATGATTTTAATCAACGTTCAACCAATATATAATTAACCTGTTTCATTTTGAATAAAAATCATATCTTACAAACAAAATAATACTATTTACTAATATCTTCACAAACAATATGCCAAATAAGAAATGTTTAAACATAAAACATAGCTACAACATTTTGAGCTATACAATACATTACTCAATACATTACAATACAATGACGGACTTTGAATAATAAAATTACTCACTTTCAACATATTGTTACATACATATATCATCAGAATTATATGATGTCAGTTACATTTAAATTTATATCAATAAAATTATTATGATTTCATAAATGTATATCTCTTTGATTATTTGGCATATTACATTGTTTTGTATGTGTTTTTTTTTATTAAACATCAATGGTTATAAATGTCTACTTTTTTTATTATAATATGCTTATATTTTAATATTTATAATTTGATATAACTAACCTCCAACAAATGTATACATAAACATAATGTAGCATAATGCCTTGTACCGAAAATTAAATTATTTTGGCTCTAAAACCCGCTTGAGATTTTAAGTAAACGTAATATTGTAAGCCTAGTATTTATAAAACGTGTGGATAATTTTCCGATAACGCTTTAAAGTGATATACCTCTGAAATTTTCAGCTTCCGACAAACTTCCTTTTTTATCTATAGAAACAATGAGACATTCGCTCCACTTTTTAGGAAAATACCCAAGATATAATAGTTTGTTGAAAAGATTTTTTAAAAATAGCCAGCTAAAACATTTTCTCTATGAATAACAAATTCGTTTAATATTCGGTCCGGGCTCCCGCTCTTATTCAAATTCAGATCTGATATGCCCTTCAAAATATCTAAACGATAAAACGGTGCATCTAACTCAGAAAACATATCATTCAATTCTTGTTTATCTTTCTCATTTAAGTATATAACATCGTCGTCAGCTTGAAAAAATGAGTCATCAAGATTATTAATTGCTTTGAAATAATTCGTGAAAGTTTCTAGAGATATATCTTTTGGTGCATTTGGTGCAACTGATTCCTTAAGCATTCGCCAATAAACTCTAGCTTTTAATATTTGGCATTTAGTATTTTATCAGTGTTTTTTGTTTGTCTTTTTCATAATTAAAATTCCTAACATTATTCTTATAGATACTTCTTGCTTCTATCATTTCCTTTCTATATATGTCATTTTTATTGCGCCTATAGTTATTAAGTTTCTGATTAAACTCTGTCACAGACATCATTGAATTGATTTGAATAATTGTTATTTGATTTAATATAAGAATTACATTTAACTGTTTTTTAAACATTGATGAACAAACTTGATCAATACAATTAAAAAACATTCAATATTTACGTCAATATCTTCATAACATTGAACATTTTCTACAGATTGGTTTAAGTCATTGATTGAAGAAATAAACAGTTCATTATTTATTTGTTCAACATATATAAATCTTTATAATCATTATTTCATTTGTAACAACTACTGAGTTCATTAAACTCTGGTTCGGTGTGGACACTTATGACATCACTAGATGGATACATACTGCCCTTCAATGTAATCTCAATCAAACAATGGTCAGATAATGAATTAGGTTCATCTATTATAAATAATTTAAACAATTGAATATCAACAATGCAATAGTCTACAACACTTGACCCATTATATCCTACAAAATTTTAAGACCCCGACTGAAAAGAGTCATAATAATCTTATATAAAATGTGTCATTAATTATATATGAAATGTGTCATTATAATCCTACATGTAATGTGTCATTATAATATTATATGAAATATTTCATTATAATTTTTATATGAAATGTGTCATTATTATTTTAAATGAAATATGTCATTATAATTTATATGAAATCTGGCATTATAATCCTATATGAAATGTGTCATAATAATCTTATATTGCCTGCTGTACAGTAAATGGGCCAATTGTGTAAGCATCTAAGTCAAAAAATAAAGTTAAACGTACAAGACAATATTTGCTCTTTTTAAATACCTTAGGGTGTCTATAACAATATTTTGGAAAGATAGGATAACTTTTTGGATACCCTTTTTAAAATATTACATCTCTTGCGGACTGTGTGGGTAGGGGTCGGATGTTACAAAGATATACTTAAAGTCTGAATATTTTACAGTTTATAATAACAATTGTATTATTTCTCTTTATTTTATAAAAATATTATGTGTTCTGATTAATGTTACAAAAATAATCCAGAAAATTCATCTTAGATATAAAAATATTTTCTTTCAAATTTTCATTATTTTTCACACAAAATGAAATTTTCAAACATGTTAGAAACAGAGAGAAATAAAACAAAGATAGGTACACCAAATCATATTTAAATCAAATATGCAAACACATTTCTTATAAAACAGTAGAAATTAAAGGACTTTCTTATGTATATTTCTTGTCAGATAACCCAAAAATGAATTGTATCCGGGGGCGGATGTTACATTTTTGGGGGACGGATGTTACACTAGATGTTTAAAGCTCATAGTTCATACTTTTTTTGTTTGGTTTTATTTTAAAGTGATAAAATTTATAAGAGTATATGCTTTGTACAGCACAATAAATGTAAAATAATTGAATGAATTATGAGAAAAATGTAGAAATATACCCAACAATTATGGAGTTTCTTACTATTTGCGTTTCACAATGAAAAGTTGCATTGACTTAGTTTTCTTCCATTTATCTTACATTTGAATGAACATTGAAATATTTTGAATAAAATAAAAACATTGCTAATTAAATAAAAGAATCTTTGTTTCCTGATAATGCATTTAATTTAACATTAAAGAGAAACTGTCATACCAACAGTACCTTTCTACATGAAATTATTTACAAAATACTAAATAAGTTAAATAATAAGATTTATATTTGTAAAAGATATGATACAGTGTGAAGTAAATAAGTTTTCAGATTAAAACATATGCAAGCTTGAATTTTCCATTACTAAATACATAAATACACACAATTAAAAATATTCATTAAAAATTATAAGATTTTAAATCGTTGCAATTAAGTTCTATTGATTTGATGAAATTTTAAGTAAATTAATGTGGAATGTTAGCAGCATTATCCAAAGATTTCATTATGATTCAGTATCATAATCTCATTATTTCTAACTTTTAATAATTCTCTGTGTAAATATTTCAGTGTACATGAATTGCTTAACTTAATGAACTAATTTGTCATTCAATAAAATGTATAGGTGCAAAATAATTTGCGAAGGGTTTATTTACAGAATAATTTTCACAATTATTCACAGGAATCCTTACCATATCCTAGTTTACTTACAAATTTCTTTCACTTTATTAACAATAATTAAATGGGTCAAATTGTATGAAAATATGCTTGAGGTTTTTTGGGGGAAAAATCTAAAAATGTTAATCAGGGTGTTGAATTATATTTCTTTATTTGTTTATTTTTCATTGACTAAATATTCAGCCTATAAAATTTTTAAGTTCAATAAATCCTTTGACTTAATTGATCTACAACTTAAATACTTAATGACATTCTTGAAACAGATATGGTAGTCCCTCCCACTGTTTTTAAGCATAATATATATCACCCTTAATTGGCACCCCTACTGTTTTGTAATATATCACACTTCCCAATATACAATATACACAGCTCCCAATATACAGCTCGTTAACTTCCAATAAAGTGCCAGCCCCTTCTGTGTGTATAGATTTAGGATCCATATTCCACTGTTTTATGAGGGGCTGGGCTGGGATACATGGTTTGTTAACTATTTAAGGCTAAAGAATTTATGTTTTAACAATTGACCAATTTTAATCACAAAGATACGTTCAACATCTCTATTGTTTGCACCTCTTTCTATATATCCTGTTATGGATTTTGTGTTTGTTTCTTCTAGTTTTTTTAAAATAGTATTTTATTTGTTGTGTGAAACATTCCTATACAGCTGCAAAGCTTACTACTTCTCTATCATGCATCATAAGAACATGATAAGTTTCGTATTACTGTAAAAAGAATTTAGTTCAATTCTGTAACATCAGTCCCCTTCTGTACCCTTAGTTTGTAAACACAGAATAACAAAATATTATATTTGTTATAAATTCATATAAGCTTAAATATTATCTTAATAAACTCATAGGTCCACTTGATGTTAAAAAATAAAATATAAATTTTATTTCAAAGTAAATAATTTTGTTTTCAGAGCAAAAAAATACTGATTGTTTTCAAAATTAAGGAATTTAGTGTTAACAAATAATATTTTTTTTTATAAATACGTCATTTCATTGCTCAGTCCTACGCATAAACCCTTCCAGTCTGCTGAATCTCAGTAAGGGCTTATCAGCTAGTAAATCACTATTCACTGTATGTATCCCATTAACACGTCCACCGAGTTGAGAGTTTTGTCATTATTTATTGCCCCTCTTATTCTTATCTAATGGTCCAAACGTTGAAGGATCA